ACTTTCAAATACTGCTTTTACTCTTCTCAAGAAGCTTTCAGAAGCTTTTTTCCTAGCCAGTCCTCTCCTAAAATATAGGGGTAAATAAAAAAGTAGAGTATTTTTATTATGTTAAGGTTTTTTAGAGGTTACATCCTCCACGTCACTTCATTCTTTAAATAAATTAATATGATAACTATATTTTATTTAGGAAAATGAGTCAGGAAAGATAGTGAGTGGCATAGTGGAACATTATTTGCACCAGACCACTGCATAGCTGGAGTCCTGGTGTAGCACTACAGGATAAGCACTGTACCACAAGATCAGTTTTAACCACTAAGTCAGAAGTTCAAACTTACCAGTTGCTCATCAGAAACCCTGCTCAGGGTCGCTATGGGTCTCAATCGACTCGATGGCACTTAACAACAACAATAACTACATAGTTATACTTATATTGCATGTTTCTAATTTGATTGCTAGCTCATTGGTTTTCAATATCCCATTTTTGCAATTATCATTCTCTGAATGCTAATAGCTATTTTGGGAGACAAACTTTAATCACTGAGTCCTTTAGATGGAGTTTTACTCAATTCAATGATATAGACCAAGATTGCCTTAAAATGGTCCCAAAAGATGCCTGGTTAAACTCCTAGAGGGAGAGCTTGCTAAAGAACCAGTCCCTGGTGGCCCCTTATCCAATTATATAAGAGACAATTTGTGGATGTGAGCATCACTTGTGCTAAGAGATAGATTCTCAACCTTTTTATAGAACTTACCATGTCTCATTGCCAAGGTCTTGCAGAGATGATAACTAAGGATCAGAGACAGATTTTCCATTAGAGGTGGGTAGAAAATATTTATCTCATTTTTGTATAATAGTCTTCACAAAATCTAAAAGCTATATCTTAAAATGAATAATTCAAATTTATTTCTTGGAAGACACTGGATGTTACATACAATCAAATATCACTCATATAATGCTTAAACTCATGTATTTCCAGGCTTAACTGTTCAGGGATAACAGACTGTGAAATATAACACAGAAATATGGCTACTGCTGTTAAGTGCTGTCAAGTTAGTTTCAACTTTTAGTGATCTTGTGTAGTGTGTCTGAGGAATAGCTGATGGATTTGAACCACTGACCTTACACTTTACAGTTCAGAGCTTATCCTACAGCACCACAAAAGGACTCCATACAGGAGTACTAGAATCTCAAAAACTAAAGATTGAATTTGAATAATGAAGACCTCATATTTGTTGAAGAAGAAATTAGGAAAATTTGACTATGCATAAGAACAATCAAGTCATGAAATAGATGATAAAATAATATTGTATCATATATGTTACGGAATGAACTTCATCTTCACAAAATGTCTTGTAAAATTTAGCCTCTATGTTAATGCTATTGATTTAACACTGTAAGTTAAGAACTGGGGATCAAACCTCCGTCTCCCATATGGAAAGAAGAATTCTGTCACTAAATCAGTAATGGTTCACTAAATCATCTGATCCTCCTATAAACATTTCTATTTTCTTGTTATAATTCAGTCACCTCCATTGTGTAACTAAGCCTCCAAGGGGGGATGACAAGGAAAGCACTAGTTTTCTTCCACTGAGAACGTTTTACAAATATTACTTCCTTTTTCTCATGTCCTTCTCATTCTTGATTTCACTTAAAATGTTTATTTCTCAGAAATTGCTTCCCTTAATATCAATCGTAAGGTAATTCTACTAGGTTCTCCCAAATATCTTATTTAGTTTCCTTACAGCATGATCACACTCTTCAGTGATTTTATTTGTGTTTCCATACCAGCTTTATGAATAAATGATCCAGGAATTGAAGAACAAATAATGTATATGGAACTTGAATGTTTTCTGGCACAGAGTAAAACTCAACAAATACTTGTTAATGACATGAAGACGGTAGTTCAAGGGAAAAACTGATTCTGGACATAAGAAACAAAGGGGCATCAGATACTTAAAACTGTGAAGATTTATTTTGTTTCTCTAATTTGCTTATATAACTCCCCCCCCCTTTTAAATCTCACTTCAGTTATTTTTTATTTTCTATTTTTCTTTCCATTTTAGTAACTATAAAACTAGAGAATAAAAAGAATGAGGCAGGGTCAAGAGTAATATAGCTGTCAACAGTTCTAGTAATTGGCAGTCCAGGGGTTATGATAATATAGGCTTAATTTAGAAATTTCTAGAGATTAAATTCGTATCCTTAGATACGGAAATATGACAGGATTTCTTTTTCCAGGTAACCACCAATGGAACTATCAATGTGATTGGGAAGGGATGCTACTTGGCATTGTTAGAGGCAAGTGACTACCCTTGAAATACACATGTCTAGGAAAGCATTTAACTAAATTATGACACCATGCTCCTTAGTTAGCAAATGTATGTGGTGTGTAAAAAAAGGTCAAGATACAAAACATTAAGTTTATTCAATCCTTCATGTTAATTCTACTGTGTTTTATCTTAATAAACAAATAAAAATAGCAATTAAGAATAAGAAACATTGGAAATATATACAGATTGTAAAAACTTGGAAGCAAGCAAACAAAGAGTTATGAAAAAGAAGGAAACATTAATTCCATAATACAATAAGTGGAGTCCTTGTATGCTGCTGTAGGATAAGCACTAAACTGCTTACTGCAAGGTCAGTGGTTCAAACCACTAGTTGCTCCTTGTAAACCCTGTACAGATTAAAATCAACTACACTTAACAAAACAGCCAAACAATATATGACAAATTTCAGTTCAAAACCCATACAGGGATATCTCTTTTAAAAAGACAGAAATCATCAAAAATAAAT